ATCTTCCAGGCCGTGCCCGACAAGGAGCGCACGGTGCCGCCGCGGATACCGGGCAGCATGGGCGGGGCCGGTGGCCAGTACTTTTTGTGATCAAATTAGCTGTTTCGGCAAGTGAGCTCTGTATTGTCCTTGTGTGTTCTCTATAAAAACTGGCCTGTCGGCAGAAAGACATCCAGGCGAAAATTTCTCGCACGACAAGGATGAGGGGCGCACAGGCGCCGGGCGGGCTTGTATCCTGGTTCCACCCACCTGTCCATCTGTTGGTGTAGCCGGAAACAGCGAGCTCCTCTGCCAGTGCGAGCCGCGGGTGTCGCCTAGTCCCACTCTGTTGACCAAGCCTTGTTCGCTAATAATAGAGCGAGGTAGAGCCACACAAGCAGCATGACTTTTGAGAGCGCCAATGGTCGCCAAGCATGAGAGTTGAAGTGAGAGCAACAGTCTGAAAGAAAAGAGTCCGGCTGTCATCATCATGCTATCAGCTTTGCAGCAATGCTCGAGAGTGCAGGCCACGCTTTTTCTGGTCCACCTTCTGGCTTTACTGCTTTTCTCCCTCCTCCCTCATCCTCCTCCCTGTATCTCCCTCTTTCTCTTCTCTTATCTCACAGCACCTTTTTCTTTCCTCTTCTACCTTTTTTCTTTCTTGCTCTTACTTTTTAAACCGAGTCTCCCCCAGGCATGGCGGCTGCACTGAAGAAAAACATTGGCAAGATTGGCCAGGTAAGCAGCGGATTGGGGCCCGGCTCTTTAATCTGCACTCTTAGCGGCAGTGGTCCGGACCGGCATATGAAGACGGAAATCAGAGCTTAGAAATCGGACCTTTTTGTGCCCTGTAGTGGACTGGCGAAAAGCTGGGCCGTGACGGCGGCAAAACCGAAGTGAGCGACGAATTCAAAGACCTTCAGAGCGAGACGGATACCCGGCACCAGGGCATGGATGGGATCCAACAGGCGTATATCCTGTATACGACGCAGCTGCTGAAGAAGAAGGACGCCACGGATGCGTCGCGGCAGAAGCTGTATCTGCTCGAAAACCTCGGTGCCTCGATGGTGCGGCTTGGTGGCAGCCTCCCGAGGGATTCCAACTACGGTAAGTATGCTTTCCATGCAGAGGTGGTGGTTGCTTTGGCCGCGCACTCTTGCATCCTGTGCGGAGCGGGCTTTTTCTTTTTCCTTGTGGAACAGCAGGAGCCTGGCAGGGCATGCCTGTGGATCGGTGCGCCATATGTGCTTTTGTCTCTGTCTTTGTCATGCTGACCCAACCGGCTCAGACAGTCATAGCACGGGCACCGCTGGTCACGGCTGGGGGGCATGCTGCCTCCCAGACAGCCTGCCTTCTGCATGTACGTCCTGTGTTTTCATTGCATGATCTCCGGAAATCGGCAGTGGGCATAATAGGAGGAGGACAGTGGGGCGGGGAGCCGAATGAGAGTGGAGTGTCATTGCTGCTCCCCCGTGTAAAAAATTGGTCGTGTTTCACTGGAGCATGCATCCAGGCGTCATGCGCGCTTGGGCCCGAGCACAAGCCTGTGGAAACCTGCTTCTTTCCCGAAATCCTCTGGGAATAAAAGGGGCCGTGGGGCCATTCGAAAAGTGCCATGCCATGCCACGGCGCCTGCGTGCTGGTGTTGCCCTTCTCGCCCACCCGCTGTTTTGTCTACACCATGCCGGTGTTTGTATGTGTGTGTGGGGAAGCTTGTGTGTAATGACGAGGGGCTGGTGACCGATCATTCCCGCATTGTTCTCGTGACAGCATCACACAGCTAACTTCTACATTGTGATATAGGCCGGGCATTGGAGCGGCTGGGCCAGGTCGAGGAGCGCATGAACGACTCGCAGCTGCAATTTGTGGCCCAGATCAAGGAGGGCTGGGGCTCGAGTCTGCAGCGTGCGCTGGACGACTTCAAAGAGTACCAGCAGCTGCAGAGGAAGATGGAGAGCCGGCGCGCCGACTACGACGGACGCATGGCCAAGTACAACAAGGCGCGCAAGGAGAGCGTGCAGCTTGAGGACGAGCTGCGCTCGGCGCAGACGCGGTACGAGGACACATACGATGATCTAGCGCAGCGCATGATGACGCTGCAGGATGCCGAGCAGGGCTACCTCAACGACCTGTACGGTTTCTATGAAGCGCAAATGGCACACTACCAGCAGTGCTACGAGATGCTGGATGGCCTGCGCGGCTCGCTGGACGAACTAATGGCGAGCCGTCGGGCTCCCGCTGCCGACCGCAATCCCATGGGCGGCAGCCTGACGACCCGCCACTCAACGACGTCGCTGCGCGCCAGTGACCGCAACCTGAGCATGCCGACCCGCCGGCCAATCCCGTTCAACTCTCCGCACGGACGGTCGCTCTCGCGGTCCGCTACCACCAGCGCGGCCCGCGGCTACAGCGGCTCGCAGTACAGCGACAACAGCGACGAGATGCAGGCCCAGTACAACTACGCCCACGGCATCGACTCGACTCCCGACGGCGGTGGTCTGGAGGGCAGCCTGGCAGTTCCCCGACCCAACCCACAGCTGGCACGTGTGCAGAGCGAGATTGGCACCAATGGCTCGCGCCGCGCACCGCCGCCGCCGGTCGCCCCCCGCCGCCATGCTCCAGCGCCACCAATGCCTACCCGTACGCCGCGCCGCATCCTGCGCAAAACAATCTATGCATTCAACCCCGACGAGGGCGGCGAGCTGGCGCTGGCCGTCGGCGATATTGTCGAGGTCACCGAGCGCGTCGATGACGGCTGGTGGATGGGCTCTATTGTCCACTCGCAGGTCGCCAGCCGCCTCAACCAGAGCGGCCTGTTCCCCGCCAACTACACCGAGGACTGCCAGGAGGCCGATGTGCCGCCCAGGCTGCCTTCCAAGGCGTCGTCGCCGGGCCTGCGCACGCAAGCCGATCCCTTTATGAGCTACAATCCGCCCCCCGCCCATCGCGCCCGCACCCAGCCCGACCACCCGCACCAGCCGGTGGGCCACCAGCGCACCAACAGCCAGGCCCTCGCTGCCGCCAAGCCATGCGCATGCGGCTGCGACGACTACTCGCCGAACCTGTTCAAGAAGGGAAACTGCACCAACTGCTTCCACAACCACTAGGCGGCGCGATATGAGTGAGTGGTGCTCTCCTCCTTGCAGTAGCTCGGGTCCTTAGCCTCTCCCGCCGAACATGTTTGCCAGCCAGTGCAAGAGCTCCACCATTTAATTTTCTTTCTTCATTTCTCTCCTACTTGTGTCGAATATTCTCCCCAGATGATGACTACATCCAAACTCAGCACTGTGTCTGGAGCTACTGCATATTTGCATGTCAGCCCTGTGTATCGGAAGTGGCCCTTTCTTTCCAGGCACCTACTGCTGCCTGACACCGTGCCAGGGAACATGCTCTAGCTATGGTCTTGCCGATCAGCACAATGCCATTCGTGACCGGGAAGGTACTCATATTGGCAACTGCGGCTTCCATTCCGCATTGCGCTCTTCCAATCCCTCTTTCAGCGCATCGTCTGTCTGCATCTGTGCGCTGCTGATTTGCCAGTGCCACCCGGAGATTGTCCTGTCCAGCTTACCTGCACTGTAGGCGGTTTCTACAGTCAGCAACCAACAGCAGACTAGTGCGAGCCACGGATCCATGCTTGGTGGGAACGATCTACGAGTCATGCAACTTTGCAGCCGGTGCGGCTGGGTCAAGATGAGTTTTACACTCTGACTGGCTTATCGCTACCAATCGCTGCAGAGTGAGGACGGGTCCTACTCTTTGCAGCTGCCATGGTTCGCAGTGGGTATATGCGCTGAGGGGCTCTTCGGCTATCCCATCTTTCGTTCTTTTACAGATGTGCTTCTGATTCCCTTTTTCTGTATAATTGTTTTTCACATTAGCACACTTCTTCATATTCGTCTCCAATGAACTCTGCACCGAAGGACGTGGCTCAGGCCAGCCACTAGCATACAGCGAGTCTTGATGGCGACACACTCAACGGAGTCCCTATCGATGCGCGCCACATGATCGATGCAGCAGTCTCTAAAACCGACGACCCATCAACTCCCTCGCTCACATTCCGCACCCTGCTGCTGGGCGGGATATTCTCGGCTGTCCTCGCCTTTGTCAATGCGTATTACTGGTTCTGTAGCAACCCTATTACGCTCGGCATTCCGGTGGTGCAGTCACAGTGGCCTGTTCCATCGCTTCCTGGTTGAGCCGGAGGTCATGGTGTGGCCATCTGCGCTGGGCAATGTTGCATTGTTCAAGGCCCTGCAGACGACGATTGCTCCCCACCGCGACAACCAGGGTGTGGATCCCACCGATAAAGAGCAGGTTGCAGTAGCCAGCAACAATGGGACGCTGCCGGAGCCCGAGCAGACCACCTGGAAGATCCCCTGCCTCAAGCTGTTTTGGATTTCATTCACGCTGTCCTTTGTTTACTACTTCGTTCCCGGCTGGTTCTTCACCACACTAACGATGGCCCCGTCCTGTGCTTGATTGCGCCAAACAACATCTATGCGAACCAGCTCGGCGACGGCTACAATAGATTTGGGATGCTAGCGTTCTCGCTGGACTGGAGCACAACCTCAAACACGTACACGGGCTTGCCGCTGGCCACACCCTGATTTGCTGCTGCCAACCTGTTTCTGGGGTTTGTCATTTTCATGTGGGTCATTACCCCTATTATGCACTATTCGGATTCATGGGACAGCAAAACGTTCCTGATATACTCGAGCCAGCTCTATTGTCAGGACGGCTCTCCATACAATGTCTCATCCGTCCTTAAGGGTGGCAAGCTGGATGCCGCTGCATATGACGCTTACAGCCCAATGCGCATGTCAGTTGAGTTCCTTACCATGTACGGCGTGTGCTTTGCCGGTATCCCATGCCTTCTGGTCCATGTTTTCTTGAACTACAGTCAGAACATGTGGGCAGCTATGCAATAGATCAAAAACGAAGTCCTGGGACACCGTGCGCGGGTGCATTCGCAGCATAGTATATTGATGAGCACATTCAGTAGTACGCCATTCTACTGGTACATGGCGATGCTTGCGGCCACAGTTGCAATGGGTATTGCTAGCTATCACATATTTGATCTGCAGCCTTTGTACGGCTTCCTGCTTGCCATTGCACTGGCAGCAGTTTTGACATTACCAGTTGGCCTGGTCGAGGCTGTGTCCAACTTCCAGTACGGCCTTGGCGTGATAACCGAGCTTATTGCAGGCTACACCTAGCCTGGCCAGCCAACATACACTGCCAGCCTTAAGATGTTCAGATACATCACAGTCGAGCAGGGTCTTATGCTGACCAAGGGCCAGAAGCTCGGGTACTACATGCGCGTGCCGCCTCGCCACCTCTCCATCTGCCAGGTTTTGGGTACTGTGGTTGCCGTATTTGTGCAGCTAGGGCGCCACCTTCTGGCCGATAGAAACTGTCAAGGGTATCTGTACCGACGCCGGGTTTCCATTCACCTGCCGACAGGGCGTCTTGTTCTACTCGACCATGGTCCTGTGGGGTGTCATTAGCCCCGAGCGTCAGTTATCTGGCAAGTACCACTCGCTGTATTATATGTTCTTTGTCGGCGTAGCTCTGCCTATCCCCTTCTGGCTGCTTCAAAAGCGATACTCGAAGATCATCTGGAGGCATATCAATATATCTGTGATGCTGACATACATTGGGTATATGCCAAATGCGCCTACACACAACTTCGTCATGTTCACGCTGTTTTGCTTTATCTTCAACTTTTTGCTCATGAAGTACCGCTATGCGTGGTGGTCAAAGTACAACTTCGCGCTGACTGCAGCTCTCGACAGTGGGTTGGCCATATCCGGAATCGTCGGGGGTTTTTGCATTACAGAATGCCAAGGTCGTGTGGGCTGGAAACAGAAATCATTGCATACTAAGCAAGATGTCGTTCAACGATGCTACGCAGCAGCGCAGCTGAGCTAGTGCTCGCAGCTTGGTTCACTGAGAAATTAGTTTTCTGGTTATGTAGCAAATGGTATGTCTTGACCACTTCATCGCCAGCACGCTGTGTATGCCGATCTCCAAGTGTTAGTACACTCAGATGCCACCATGGCCAAAACCAAAGCCCCACATGTCTGGGCTCAAGGAGGCCAGCTGGCGTCCCTTTCCTCCTCAGTTCAGTACTATAAAGGCTAATAAAACCCGTCTCTTTCAGGGCTACGCGATCAATATTGCAGGGTCCGCTATTCAGATTCAGACGTCTGCCACATTCGCATCAGTTCAGGCTGCTATTGACGGATCTTGATTTGGCATACATTGCTTTGGTCAATTGGCACACCACAGACAATGCTTGATGCGCTGCAAAGAGATCGAGCTCAAAGCACCGGAATTTACCGAGCGCAAGGCACGTCATCCGTGAAGTGCCGTGTGGGAATTGCCAGTACATGTGGTGGCGGTTCACATTAGCCTGCACGAGCAAGAGCACGCTGGTTTTCCATGTGGCAATTGGCTTGCTTCTAAAAATAAGGCTACATTTTTGTGGAAAAAGCACGTTGCTTTGTAGCTACATTGCCAGCATTCGCTACGCAGCCCTCGATGCCCAGAATGATTATTTTGGTTGGCTTCAAGTCTGCCGCAAAAATGAACATGTTTTCCAAATATGCTACGCCTTGAAGCCAACCAATGCGGATTTTCGCAGGTGTGAATACGGCGAAGATTCCGTGCCTTTTTGCATGACAACACAAGTCTCATTGCATTCAATATTTGACTGCCGGTCTCTTTGGCATTTAAATTCAGCTGCGACAGAGCAGAGTGAACAGGCTCCTTTACTCACTCCATTTTTACTCCATCTCACCCACACCATTTGCATATACATACCCACCTTATTTTTTTTGGCTGGTCCAACCTGTATCTATTTGCACTATGAAGGCATCATCCATCTTCACAACAGCGTCCACGCTTATCGCTGGCCTTGCTTCGATGGTTAGCGGCCATACATACCTAAGCCATATCTATCCTAATGGAAAGCGGTATGCCGAGGGTGCCTGTATCTACCCCTACGACAATAATCGCGCCAACCCTGTCATTGGCCCAGATTCGAAGTCCATGACATGCGGTATTTCGGGCTATAACAACTCGACTAACGAGATTTGCCCTGTCAAGGCAGGTTCTACAATGACCATTGAGTGGCATCGCTATAACGACACGATGGAGGACTACGTGCTTACACATAACCACATGGGCCCATGCCTTGTGTACATGGCACCAAAGGATAGCCGTGGCCACGGCGATGTGTGGTTCAAGATCTTCGAGGATGGCTACGACCCCAAAACCAAAAAGTGGTGTGCCCAGAAGGTTATTGACAACCACGGCAAGATCGATATCAAGCTGCCTGCTGACATCAAGGCTGGCGACTATCTGCTACGCACTGAGATTATCGCGCTACACAATGCGGCCGATATCAACGGTGCACAGTATTATCCAAACTGCGCTCAGCTCCGGGTCACTGACGGCGGGTCTTCCACCCCAAAGGGCTACGCCATTCCCGGAGTCTACAAGAAAACCGACCCAGGAATCCACTTTGACCTGAAGACCCCCTTTACGTCGTATCCCATTCCTGGTCCGCCGCTGTACCAGGGGAGCAGCCAAACTATGCCTGCGGGGTCTTCCGATAGTGAACCGGCAAAGGCTGGCCCCTCGTGCACCAAGGGTGCCAGCAAGCAGACCCCCTTGGCTCATACTGCGATGGGCGGATACTCTACTGCTCCAGCTAAGCCCTCGGCTACCAGCGATAGCCCGCAGACAGTAACAGTGACGGCACAGAGGACAGTCACACAGATAATCACTATAAAGCCGTAATACATCACTATGTAGCTCTCTATGACCGATTCAAGCTATGAACTTGTGGCGATAGCGATAGTCTAGCAGGATGGTTTTGTCCACAGTTGGATCTGTGAAAACAGGTGGAATATTCGTTGGCATGCATTCTTGACATGGAATATAGGCGTGTGCTCGCTGGGTGTCTCATGCGACTCAAATACATTAAGTCGCATGCACTGCTAGAGACCTGCCCAGCGATCAAACGCAGAGTTGGCGGTGCACATCTGCTGCCGCTTGTCGCCGCACATGGTAGGGGGTGGTCGGTGTCCATGAAAAATTGACCTGTCTGGTTCTCAGTAAAGAAAGTGTACGAACAGAATGGCCGGCGTGGTGCTGCACATGCGTGTAGGCAGCTGCTCCTAGGTGCTCCATGTCGCCTGTTTCCCAGAAAATCGGGGTGTAGTCGGCAGCTGCAATGCGGGTGCCAGAATGAGGGGCTGGATGCAATGCAGATCGGCAGGCCATGCGTTAGTCAGATTCCGAGGAAGCAGCGAACATCATGGATCCGAGGTCTCCCTGATTCCATGGAAGCAACACTACATGGCCATCACTAACGACACGGTGTATTTTTGGCAACAGAAACAGCCTTCAGAACCCCTGGAGCCTTAAAACTTCTATTTTTGCCAACTGACGTGGCATCCCTTTTACTTTGTGCCTCCCTTCGCTCGTTCTGGTTTTACTTTAGTCGGTGCTAAAGTAGACAAAGTAGAAAAATCAGGCTTTGTATCTATACTTGCCTCTGCCGCATTGGGTTCCACATACATAGTGCGACAGCTAATACGCACTTTGGCGGTGCATGGGTTGCTTTGCTCGGGCATAGGAGCAGAAGCCGAAAACTTTGATTGCCCAAACGACGCCCATTGCCGTACATGTGTCAGCAGCGCGCATTTCTGAAAGCAAGGAAATAGCTCAGACTTGAATGGAATTTCCTGAGCAGTTCCCAAATAAACACCCACGAGCCTGTCAATCAGACTGATATCTGTTGAGGCATTTTAATGCATGTATTTTTAGCAAATTTCCCTTTTGACAATCCAAACTACATGGCAGAACCTGCACAACGCAAAGAAAAAATGTCTTTCTGGCGGTTTGAATTGGATTGCGAAAATATGTGTGCTAGCTGGCTGCACAATATTATCCTAGACAATACTGCTAATCGACAATGCCAAAGTCACGTCAGTGGTGTGTGCATCTTTCGCCCCTGCGAGCACCAGCGGAATTGTATAAAGCGAATTGACAGGCGCCGGGCTTCCAGTATTCGGCATCGCAACCTTCTACTCACGATTTCATCCCTTACCCAATTGCATTTTTGGCTGGTCCAAACATCTTTCACACACTGCAAAAAAAATGAAATTCCTCTCTGCACTCACATACGCTCCATTCCTGCTGACGGGGCTTGCCTCAGTGGCGAATGCGCACACGTACTTGCGCAACCTCACGATGAACGGTGTAAAATACACCGAGGGTCAGTGCATTCTGCCGTATGTGGGCGACCGGATTCAGCCGGTCTTGAATCCGACTAGCCAGGACATGATGTGCCGGACGCAGGACAAGAATCTGACAGCCTCGATGACGTGCCCGATCAAGGCCGGCTCGACAATCACGGTTGAGTGGCACTGGCGCGAGGACTTCCCGAACGATGTGATTTCGTTCAACCATCTGGGTCCGTGCATCGCCTACATGGCGCCTCTGGAAAGCAAGGGCCACGGCGACGTGTGGTTCAAGATCTTCGAGGAGGGCTATGACCCTGCGACAAAGAAGTGGTGTGTGGACAAGATCCGCGAGAAGGCTGCGCACGGCCAGTGGGACATCACTATCCCCGCGGATATCAAGCCTGGGGACTATATGATCAGAACAGAGATCATTGCCCTGCACGAGGCATACAGAGAGAACGGCGCGCAGTACTATCCCAACTGCATCCAAGCGCGTATCCAGGGAAGCGGCAGTGCTACGCCCAAGGGATATGCAATTCCGGGAATCTACAATGCAACTGATGCAGGCATCATGTTTGATCTCAAGAAGCCGTACACGTCGTACCCGATCCCGGGCCCGCCGCTGTACGAGAGCGGCAGTGCCGACACTAACCAGAGGGTTGCATATTCATTGCAGGCTGGCACACAGACTCCGACACCTACTGCTGTTCCGTATGCGACACAGTCAAAGGTGTATGCTGCCACCTCATCAGCCGTTCACAGGTGCGCCGCTTGAAATGCATTTATTATAACGAAGTATTCAGGAATACAACGTCTATTTAACCAAACCCGATGCTGCAGCTGCAAGGGACATTCTTGCGGTATTCATGCATGAGTGGCCGTTGGCTCCAGCGTGCCAATTATCGATACTGGCACCTGCATGATGTCTAGATCCAGCAGCCTGCTCAATGCAGGGCGGTCAGACAATGCTTATCAA